TCTCATCTACAACTTTGAATACAAATGATCCAGATGGAACGAGGTTCTGGAAACAGAAACCTCTACCCTCCAACACTTCACATATGAATATGAATGATACAGATGGAACGAGGTTCTGGAAACAGAAACCTCTGCCCTCCAACACTTCACATATGAATATGAATGATACAGATGGAACGAGGTTCTGGAAACAGAAACCTCTGTCCTCTAACACTTCACACATGAATAATTATGATACATATGGAACGAGGTTCTGGAAACAGAAACCTCTGCCCCCCAACACTTCACATATGATTACACATGATACAGATGGAACGAGGTTCTGGAAACAGAAACCTCTGTCCTCCAACACTTCACTTATGAATAATTATGATACATATGGAACGAGGTTCTGGAAACAGAAACCTCTGCCCCCCAACACTTCACATATGATTACACATGATACAGATGGAACGAGGTTCTGGAAACAGAAACCTCTGCCCTCCAACACTTCACTTATGAATAATTATGATACATATGGAACGAGGTTCTGGAAACAGAAACCTCTGCCCTCCAACACTTCACATATGAATATGAATGATACAGATGGAACGAGGTTCTGGAAACAGAAACCTCTGCCCTCCAACACTTCACATATGAATACACATGATACAGATGGAACGAGTTTCTGGAAACAGAAACCTCTGCCCTCCAACACTTCACATATGAATAATTATGATACACATGGAACGAGGTTCTGGAAACAGAAACCTCTGCCCTCCAACACTTCACATATGAATATGAATGATACAGATGGAACGAGGTTCTGGAAACAGAAACATCTGTCCTCCAACACTTCACATATGAATATGAATGATACAGATGGAACGAAGTTCTGGAAACAGAAACCTCTGCCCTCCAACACTTCACATATGAATACAAATGATACAGATGGAACGAGGTTCTGGAAACAGAAACCTCTGCCCTCCAACACTTCACATATGAATACAAATGATACAGATGGAACGAGGTTCTGGAAACAGAAACTTCTGTCCTCCAACATTTCACATATGAATACAAATGATACAGATGGAACGAGGTTCTGGAAACAAAAACTTCTGTCCTCCAACACTTCACATATGAATATGAATACGAATATGAATGTGAATGTGAATGTGAATGTGAATGTGAATGTGAATGTGAATGTGAATGTGAATATGAATATGAATATGAATATGAATATGAATATGAATACGAATATGAATGTGAATGTATGAATGTGAATGTGAATGTGAATGTGAATGTGAATGTGAATGTGAATGTGAATGTGAATGTGAATATGAATACGAATGTGAATGTGAATGTGAAATTGAATATGAATATGACTGGGCATGGTTTTACGCCGTTTTAGCAATATTCCAGCAATATCACGGCGGGATGAATATGAGTGTGAGTGTGAATATGAATATGAATTTTATATATGATGACAGAGAGATAACAACATTATTCACAATTACTCAAATGTTGTTTGAACACACACACACACACACACACACAAACACAAAATACTACCTTTTTCTGATAAGATGATTTATGATTTGTTTCGTCGGTTATATGTACATGGTATGTTGTAAACGTTGGATATGAGCATTATGAGTGAGTGCATTGTACCTACCACTAACAGTTCATACACCTGAGCAGACTGGAACGAGTATTTTCGGTATACATTACACAATAAAAAAACCGCTGAATTTATATCATCATCAACGTTATAAATGTTCCATTTTCTTTGCTTTTAAACAAAACCCCATAAAAATAACTTTGCAAAAATAAAGGAGACAATATCCTGATGTGCTAATATAAACGATAAACCGGAAGATACGCTTCGTCCTATAATGTTGTCCTGGGACGGTCCACATGCAGGATAAATTAGAAATACTTCCAAACGTTTAGGAAAGATTTCGAAACACATCGAGTGTGATAAATGTTAAAAGGCGGTAAATAAGACCTCCAAGCTTATTTATCTTTATTGTTTCTTTCAAATCAATCGTATTTCAGACGTCAGGACGTAGCCAGGCATATATAATAGCTATGGTTATTAACCAGGCATGCAATATATGCATCTCAGCCTGACATGCCTAACGAGTCTGTGACAACAGGGGGAGAACAATAATGGGATCATGGATTAAAGCGGGGCAACTGACTATGGCTAGTTTCTAATGCTATAAAGTGTCGCTCCTGATACATACAATATGCTGTCGAGCCTCGAGCTATACTCGTTTAGTTAACTGTATACTTTTGTATTAGGAGCCTTAATGATAACACTGTCTGGCTAATATTCAGCAGTAGGAGATGCGGTATTTGAGCAAGATGTTGGTGCGGAAGGGGAAGAAGCAGACTCGAAAACTGAAGGTTTAGAAGAGGCACAATTCTTTGTATATATTATATGTGACAAGCTGTTTGTGCTCGGCATTTAATGGCTACGAAATAAGAAACTATAATTCAGCTGCTGTGATGTTTGGTGATGTTGTCGAGGCTATATAGGGGCGTTCTGGGTGAACTATATTTTCAAAGCTGTGAGGTTGAGTGATGTTATCAAGGATACCACTGGGCGTCATGGTGAACTATATGGGAGTTTTCTGGGTGAACTATATTTTCCAAACTGTGAGGTTGAGTGATGTTATCAAGGATACCACTGGGCGTCATAGTGAACTATATGGGAGTTTTCTGGGTGAACTATATTTTCCAAACTGTGAGGTTGAGTGATGTTATCAAGGATACCACTGGGCGTCATGGTGAACTATATGGGAGTTTTCTGGGTGAACTATATTTTCAAAGCTGTGAGGTTGAGTGATGTTATCAAGGATACCACTAGGTGTTCATGGTGAACTATATGGGAGCGTTCTGGGTGAACTATATTTTCAAAGCTATGAGGTTGAGTGATGTTATCAAGGATACCACTGGGTGTTCATGGTGAACTATATGGGAGTTTTCTGGGTGAACTATATTTTCAAAGCTATGAGGTTGAGTGATGGTATCAAGGTAACCCGGAGTGTTCATGGTGAACTATATTTCAATTGGTATGACGCTATGAGGTTAAACGATATTGAAAATACAGTTTACATTTTTAATTGAAAAGCACTTAATGCCAATAAGACGAGGGTTAAGTTAAATACTGTGTATTCCTATAATCTTTTGTTATGATCGTTATGAATTTCAGCTATTAACAAGTATACAAGTCTACAAGTCTACTTTACTTGTCTTTATCACATTACTTCTTCACCAATGCAAAGACAAATAAACAAAGCTAGAGGGTATTAGCAGAATACACGAGAATAGTTCATATTCAAAAGATATTGAGAAAATCAATATTCTTTACAAGTTATATCATTAGTAAACTGAGATGTTACTGTCAAAGGGGTGGCTTAGCTAAACAGCAGAAATTGTACTGAGGTCATAAAATACATTTAGGTGTTAGTCTTTATACTAACAGGACTCTATTTTTAGTAAAAGATTTGAGAATAAGGCATTTTCCTGAAGAGCTGATCACACCTGTTTTTGTGACAGAAATTGCTAAACTGGTGTAAACTTGATATAACCGCTGACCTTCTTTCCCTGTGTAACAAGTTGGTTGTATACATTATAAATAAACATTGGGCCATTAAACAGGCAATCAAAACCGAACCACCTATTTATCATGATATATCATAGTCATGGCGCCCATTATAAATAACCAAAACGTTTGCTTAACCGAATCGGAGCCCACAAGGATGTATTGCCGACAGAGGAAACGCTAATTCTATTTGTAAAGAACAGGAAATTTGATTATTTGCGCACGATCTCATACAAAAGATGAGAAACCGGCCTTACGTTTCTTTAGAAAGTGACATTGATGTCTACTGCATGAAATTTGTGTTGGAAAAACACGGGGTGTAGCTATCTACCCTGGCGTACACCACACAGTAGGTTGTGGGGTGTTAACAAGTCAACAAGCGGGTATTAATTATCCAACACTTGGCTTACTAAACCACACAGATGCTATAAATACCTGGTACGTGACCCCAATTAGAGCTGTAAATACCGTTGTCTCAACTGCAGTTTGTATCGGATAAAGGGATAAACAAGTAAACAAACGGACAATATCTCCGTTCAACAGTATACCGTTCAAACGATAAAAATGATATCACCATTTGCTAGATGAGAAAATTCTGTGTTGATAATATAATCTAACCTACCCTGACACAAATCATCTTTTAATTTGTTGACAAACCAAGTAAACAAACAACTGTTCACAACTATGTATCTCCTACGATACAGGTAATTACAAAATAAACAAAAACATTTTTTGTAGGAAATGGCACTGTGTAATATGTTGTGTTAACACGCAGTAGACTGTGTTGAGTAAACATGTAAACAGGTGAATAGAAAGACATCCATTCTACGATAATGAGGATTCATTTAGCAAAATAATGAATTGGTAATAGCAGAGACCATATAATGTAATAGCAATACTAACGTGTAGCTATGAATCGAGACACACTCTGCTGTGTGGTGTGTTGAAAACATTCTACATTAACACAATCTGACATCTGTGCTGCCCACTTCTTCATGATATACACTGATCATTCCTTGATAACACTACTCGACAGCTATTCCAGTGTTGGCGAAATTGACAAGCTGCTGTCGCGTGAACATTTCAATTCTATGACATGTCACATGGTAATAACGTTGATTACAGCATCCACGGTTGAACGTATGGCACTTGGTCGTGGTATGTACATCTTCACAACGTTACAGTTGGTACTACCCAATGTACTCCCCTCCCACCCTGAGGGTCCGGGTCCGGGCAGGGACACCAGCTGAGACTGACTCCCCGATTCATGCCTGGCTCCCCACTGGTCATCTATAACAGCTGTTTCGGCCCCGGGAGTCAGGCTTGAAATAAGCGAGATGCACATCCACACGCGGAGCAAACACCGTATTAACAAACATGACACGGTGAAGGTAAGGATCGTACATACCTGAGACATGTGACGGCGTCCGGGGTACCTCCCCCCTCTCAGATCAGGGCACCACAGGTAAATATCCCAGCTCACTCCAACACACCCTCTCTCATCGACTCACTGGTCGTACCTGACGAGTAGCGCAATCGTCGGGAGAAAATCGAATTGGATTTGTAATAGCCGAGTGGTGAATTCCACCTCCTCCCAACAGAGAAGTATCTTGGCTTGTGGTGTGGGTGCACGTCATGCTATCCTCGCTCGGTCTCCTGCTTTTCAAATGTTAACAATGCCCCTACCAGGGTCCTCTAGGCCTTTGTGACCATATAAAAGGTAGGCCCAGGCTTCGGGCGAGACGAGTGTATCATTTCGCACATTGCCTCGTAATAATGTACCTTCCGTGGCCGCATTGTCTGACGGTGAATAGGGCACTTGAAAAAAGTCACATTGAAGAGGGGCCACATTGTATTCAGACAATGGCCAGCGTTTCTAAATATGTTGTACATATCACAAATGAACTACAGTCTGATTGTAAAACGCGTCGACTAAAGTCGTATAATGGCAGAGGCATTTCGAACACTACAGGGTAGAGTAGTTATTACTGAGTGGAGGTCTTTCAATACCAAAAGGCTTTTTCCTCCCTTTAAAAGCCCGTAGAATTGAGTATAGAAAATCATTGGCTGTAACTCTTAGCTTGGAACCAACTCGGAGCAACAAAGTCCAGCCCTGAAAGGTCTATAGCTGCGACCGGCATTGTGTCATTCTCCCAGTTTGTATTGGGCATTGTGTGGGCTATGTTTACAAGCGAACAAATATCCTCAGTAGAAACCACCTCTAATGTACAAAGAATATCAAAGGACGTATACAAATTGGATCTTTATTCAGTGAGCAGTTTTAAAGAACTCATTCACACAAGCCGTCTATAAAATCGGGCTGTTCCACTATCTGCCAGGCAATCAACTGTCGGCGACATTCCTCTAAGACACGGGGCAGTACATAGTACTAAACCCGGGCGGCAGAATACGCACATTCGACCGAACAGCCTTTTCATCCGCCACAAAAAATAGACCGTATGATTACCTGGGCCGCCACCTTATAGAACGCTCCGGCAGTCGGTTCAAAGAGTAACACCGTAGCATATAATCGTGCGTTTACGACGCATATTTTGGGAGCATTACACAATTTTCATGAATCACTGGTTTCCGTGGTTACAAATGAAAGTGAGATAGAGCATCCTTTATGTCACTAGATGGCCGGGATAAGTGGTCATATCAAAGAGGATGATAGCATCAACGATTAAATTAAATTTTACACTTGCTTGACGATGCATAAATTATGCCTCCATTGATATGTTGAGTGATGACTTAACGGTAATAACCTCTCCCTACTTTGAAATATTTCAAAAGAGAGGTTGCAACTGACATATTAGTTTAAGATGTCTGATGTGTGGAGAGACGTATAAAACATCTGAACTTGTTAGAGATGACGTTTTATTTGCTGGCATGCATCTATATATGTACAAGAGGCCCTGTCATAGACTTGACTGGAAGCTCATATCACATTAACACGTTTGTCAGGCTCGTTTCTGTTGTTGAAAATGAGACTGTACTTATATTAGATAGCATCACATTTCATACCCTGCTGAATAGAGATCTTTAGTTATTCATGCATAGCTCAACAGCACAGCGCAAGGTTTGTCTAAACACTGGAATGTGTGTGTGTGTGTGTGTGTGTATGTATACACAGCTTTGATTCATCATACATAGATGTGGCCTTCACACAGATCTGTGGTACTTCATCCATAGATGTGGCCTTCACACAGATCTGTGGTACTTCTTACATAGATGTGGCCTTCAAACAGATCTGTGGTACTTCATACATAGATGTGGCCTTACATACAGATCTGTGTTACTTCATACATAGATGTGGCCTTCACACAGATCTGTGGTACTTCATACATAGATGTGGCCTTACATACAGATCTGTGTTACTTCTTACATAGATGTGGCCTTACATACAGATCTGTGGTACTTCATACATAGATGTGGCCTTCAAACAGATCTGTGGTACTTCATACATAGATGTGGCCTTACATACAGATCTGTGTTACTTCATACATAGATGTGGCCTTCACACAGATCTGTGGTACTTCATACATAGATGTGGCCTTACATACAGATCTGTGGTACTTCTTACATAGATGTGGCCTTACATACCGATCTGTGGTACTTCATACATAGATGTGGCCTTACATACCGATCTGTGTTACTTCTTACATAGATGTGACCTTACATACAGATCTGTGGTGTTTCACACATAGATGTGACCTTACATACAGATCTGTGGTGTTTCACAGATCTGTGGTGCTTTCACACATAGATGTGGCCTTCACACAGATCTGTGGTACTTCATACATAGATGTGGCCTGTGTGGTGTTTCACCTTCACACAGATCTGTGGTACTTCTCTGTGGTACTTCTTACAAAGATGTGACATTACATAGAGATCTGTGGTGTTTCACACATAGATGTGACCTTACATACAGATCTGTGGTACTTCTTACATAGATGTGACCTTACATAGAGATCTGTGGTGCTTCATCCATAGATGAGGCTTTGCAAACTTAACTGTGGTACGTCTTACTGTGGTACTGAGATTACATTTTCACAATGGTGATATCATTTTTATCGTTTGAACGGTAGATTGTTGAACGGAGATATTGTCCGTTTGTTTACTTGTTTATCCCTTTATCCGATACAAACTGCAGTTGAGACAACGGTATTTACAGCTCTAACTTATTGAACGTGAACATGCTATTCCATACAGCCAGGATTCAGCAATGTTCATTATACCATGAAACCGCACCCATTTGTCTAAAACATTTAGTTGCACAATGCCAACATCTCAATATATTCACTTGGAGAATGGTAAACATCCTTTATTTCATACTTCTCTTTAAAATCGCTGTTTTCCGAAATCCTATCCTCTAATATACTCATGCCAATAATGGTTGTCACCCCCTTCAATTTGTTTTATTGGAGAGGGGGTGTGGGGTGAGAGGTGTGAGGTGTGTGGGGCTGGGGTGGGGTGGGGGTGACAACCATTATTGGCATGAGTATAGTAAGCTGAAGAAAAACCCTTATGCATAAGTCATTTTGGTGTAACCATATTTGTATTGAAATTTAGAAACATACTGAAACATTCCATATATTGTATACAAAATGACAATAGGCATGTCCTGCCCTTGTTATTTTCTCTTTGAATCACAAGATATGGACTCGGCGATAGCTACCATCTGGTCTTCTCGTAACTTGTCAACAGGCGTAAATTGTATTTTAGTTATTCATAAAAATACATAAACATGAACACAGCGGTGAGGTGGCGTATTCAGGTGACACAATAGTCCTATCGTAATGTGTTTGGAAGATCGCCGTCATCAACCCATGTCTGTCGTTAGAGGCGACCAGGGCATCGCGTGGTCAGGCCCTCTGACGAGGCTGCATATCATCATAACCCATTTGAACATATTTGTGCTCATGCTATCAATCACTGGACTATCTGTTGTAGAGGCGTTTCTTTACAAACCGCCGTCTTTAAGCAATATTGACAACAAACGCACTGCGAAGTGTATATCAAATGCTCACTATTCCAAAGGTAACTCAAATGTCCTCAGACAAATCTCAGCGAAACGTAATAGTTTCGTCACAAGGACGAATCATATCTCAAGTGACGTGTTTGCTCGGCTAATGTTTCTATTTCAACCATTTGATTCCCCAACAAATACCTCAACATCTGTATTTTCGATTCCCCACGTGTATGAGCTTAACTGAGGTTTAAGTTTTAGGCTTGCACTTCCCAAACGGGGTACACTATAACTAAATTCTTTAATCAATAGGTATCCTACCCTTATTTAAGAGTAAAGAATACGCACGTGTAGATGGCTATCCGTGCACGCACGTGCTGATGTTATCTGCACGTGCCCTGCACGCGATCGTTCTGTCAACGCTAGCTGGTATCCTGTTACACGCACCTGCGTTCTAACAAAGGGCTTAATTCGATGTCAATAGAAGATACACGTGCTGGTGCATTGGGTCACATTTTGATCTGATTGTATAAGGAAGCTGATTTAATTTTTCACATATATTAAACCATTGGATGAATACATTGACGCTATCGAGAACAACCTGATCCAAAATTTAAAAAAGGTGTCTTCGGCACTTTGTGGTAACTGACCAAAGCCAAAAGACTATGATTATGATAGCATTCAAATAACACCGGCCATTTACACCGATCAGCCTTCAGACACGTCGAACACATGTTCACTTCTTATTCTATTGACTAAATGAGTTTGTTTAGGCAATTTGCGAGTGACTAGCAATATTCCGGCAATATCATGGCGGAAGAACCCAGAATGTGGTTTCACACAGTGTACCCATGTTGGGAATCGAACTCGGGTCTTGTGACAGGTTAAGCGAACGCCTTTAGGTTACCCCAAAGCCGTATGCCATTTGGAACGATCAGCTACATCACTGTTGGGCCATCACAGGGAATCGAAATCAGTCATTTGAAGTAATGAGCGAACACTTTAACAGTCTAGCTACCCCGTCGTATGTGTAAGTCTTTCAAAGAAGCACAGAATTTCTATCTCTTTCGCTAACACCCGTGAAGGTCCGGTTATTTACAGACCGCGCCATATAGCTGGAATATTGCTGTGTGCGGCGTAAAAGTAAACTCACTCACTCTTTCACTAACATCACTTATATCAGCTTCATTTACATCCATGTGTCGTCTCTCCGTACTATTTTACAAATGGATGTATCAATACAAATACATCTCACATAAAATATGATAGAAGGCGTGAGACATGTTAGAAGATAATTTGAAACATATTTCAGTTGCTTTCATCGCGGTAAAAAGTACACTTTTATGTATATCGTTATTTTCCTGGCGAATGCATAATAAATGTCACATGGCGATAGAGTTTCCTCTTTGTTATTGCTTATTGCGTGAGACAGTGCAATTCTCTCGACTCTGGAGAGAGTTAAACCCACATACAAACCCACTTCATAACGACGTGGTCTATCACAAAAGCCAACACGGAGCATACAGTTACTTTAAATAGGAAACATATGAAGAATTTCAACTCATTGTTGTACTGAACAAAAGCTCAATAGCACACAATAGCGTTGTTTATAGCACGGCAACTTGTCCGTAGACGCAGCCTTTGTTTACAAGCCAGAATAGATAAAATCCCATACTGTTGTATTGTTGAGCTGCTACAATTACTTTGGCCAGTTTGCGCGATGGGATATTCATCACCGCATAATGAAGCGTGACATGGAAGAACACTAAATGTAGGAAAAAGTGAGTTATGGATATAAATGTCTGTGCATTATTGCTTGGTGGACGAAATGGGTGTAGTCTTACTGCAGCTGTAGCCGCCATCTCCTCCACAGAGGCAGCTGTTGTTGCTGTTGCTGTTGCTGTTTAACGACGCAGTCAGTAATACTGTGGTCGTCCATGACCGAGTCTGGACATCGGTGTTCGCAG